CCGCGGTGGGGGAGGGGGCTGCGCGGTCTCGGCCCCCGAGAGGGGAGGGGCGAGCATTTCTGTCCGCCGATCCCGACGGCTGGGGAGGGCGAGCGGCTCTTTAAGGGACCGCGGGAGGGGCCCGGCCGGTACGGGCGCCCCCTCCCCAGTCGCCTGCGCGGGCGCTCGGCGCGCGCGGCCCCAGGATGCGGAGGAAGGAAGGCGGCTTGGGTCTCACGGCAGGGGTGTGTGGGGACGCCGAGTCCTCGAGTGGGGGCGGCCCGAGGTCGTGGGCAGGGGTCGAGGGGGTGTGTGTGATGAGCGCGGGCCAGCGGAGTAGGGGGAGGGGGTGGCGTGGGCAAGAGAGGGTTAAAGGTGGGGCCAGCCCTACAAACACGCGCACACGCTCCTTACTCAGACCTGTCACCCGCCGCGTCTCGCCCGCACTTAGCCCGGGCTGCGGGGGAGGGGACTGGGGCCTGCACGGGTCGGAACTCGCGCCTTCGGAAGGGCCGAGCCCCCTGGCCGAGGCGCACACACCACGCTCCAGCGCGCGCACACACCTCGGACATTCCCATAGTGCCTCACGTGACACTCGGCCCGAACGTGCCCACCCTGCCCACACGCTCACGCACGCGTGCTCACACGCGCGCACACAACCTCCGGCCGCTTCCGAACTCCGCACTGACCCCCGGTCCTCCGCCCCGCAAAGGCGCCCATTGACGGCGGCACACCTCCACTCATTCACAGACACACACTACCCCCACATGCCAGCCACAGCCACACATTCATAAACAGGGCAGGGAGAAGTACACACGCACCCCCTCGCTGCCTACTCGTTTGGGAGCCCTGAGTCATTCCTGCCCCCCTCTCGGGGCTCCCCATGTCCCTGAGTGCGGGCACAACGGGACAGGCTGGAGTCTCCTTTAGTGGCCCCCCGGTCCCCTAGGCCCCCTTGCCCGGTTTGCTGCCTCTGACACTCAGCCAAGGACTTCCTGTAGGTCCCAGGTCAGGGGCTGGCTGCGCCTGGACGGTTGCCACAGCCCCGGTGCAGTTAGGGAGGCACTTCCTTTTCCTGAACTCTGGGATCCTGCGAGAGGAAGTTGGGCGGGGGCCGCCGAGGCCAGGCTGACTGGTGGGACTGGCCCTCCAGCAGCACTGGCCTTTCTTAGGAGCAAGCGACAGAGGCCTGGGATGGGGATCTTGGCGGCTGTCGAGGTATCTGGGAAAACAGAGGTCTGGGGAGGAGACCAAGCTGAGCCGTCCAGCCAGGTTCTGGATGGGCCGTGCCAGTGTTGGGCCAGCAGGCCTCCCCTCCACCCACTGGTCTTTCTGGGTTCTGGAAAGAGCCCTTCCCTGCTACTGTGGCTTCCTTGACCCTCTATCAGTTGTCCCCAGCCTGCGCTCATGCGGTCCATCTGGTTCCATCTCCTTCCCCTACACGCAGTGACAGCAGAGGGCAGATGTAACCTTCTGGGGGAGAGCGTGTTGTGGAATCTGGTCTCCCAGCTCCGTAGCTACCACAGGGTCCTCAGCCCAGCCTGGGGGAGTCGGGGACAAGCACCGGGTGGTCCTCTTCATGCTCTTCCTGCTCTCTCAGGAGGCCCAGTGTGGGCCGAAGCCCTTACCATGGAGTCCATGTTTGAAGATGACATCAGCATCCTGACCCAAGAAGCTTTAGGGCCCAGTGAGGTGTGGCTGGATGGTCCCGGAGACGCCTCACTCGGAGGCGACATGTGTTCTGCCTCCCATTTTGCTCTCATCACGGCCTATGGAGACATCAAGGAGCGGCTAGGGGGTCTGGAGAGAGAGAACGCCACCCTCCGCCGGCGCCTCAAAGTCTACGAGGTCAAGGTCAGAACCTGGACGGGGTGGGGAGCTGTGCAGTCCTGTTGTAAGGGTGGGGAGGGGTTCCACCAAGAGATTCCAAGGATGACAAAGAAGTCCTCAGAACTGGAGGCCCATCCTTGAAGAAGTGGCTGCTCCGTGTGTGAGCTCCTGCAGCCAGTGGGGTGGGGGTGGGGAGCTCGGCTTTGGAGTGGTGGTGGGTTCCGCTGGAGAGGGCAGGGGTAGAAGTCTCTGAGGCAGGTTGTAGGGTTGGGGCAGGGTGGTCATTGGGTGGGAAGCCAGGCTTCTCTGAGGAATTGCCCTCCCACAGTACCCGCTGATCACTGATTTTGGAGAGGAGCATGGCTTCCCTCTGTATGAAATCAAGGATGGCTCCCTGCTGGAGGTAGAGAAGGTCAGTCTGCAGCAGCGGCTTAACCAGTTCCAACATGAGGTAAGCCCTTGGCCTTAGCTTCCCAGCCAGCCCAGCTCCTTCAGCTTCTTCCCTCCATCCGTTTCTGGTGCCCATCACCCTGCCTCAGCCCCATCATGGCCTTTGACTGGAGGTGGCCACTGTCCTCCCTAAATCAGATTCAGCTCTCCCTTATTCCATTGGGAATGGGGTTGGGGAGATTCGTGGAGCCCCTCTGCCCCCTGTCAAGGATGACCCTGACCCTGGCACACCTCTCTGGCCTACCCAGTTGCAGAAGAATAAGGAGCAGGAAGAACAGCTCGGGGAGATGATCCAGGCTTACGAGAAACTCTGTGTGGAGAAAAACGACTTGGAGACAGAGCTGGGGGAGATGGTGAGGCCCAGAGAGTTGGGGGGGAGGTACCCCTGTACCTGATTGTGTGTATGAGCCCAGAGAGTGGGGAGAGGTACCCTTGTACCTGATTGTGTGATGAGCCCAGAGAGTGGGGGGGAGGTACCCCTGTACCTGATTGTGTGTATGAGCCCAGAGAGTGGGGGGTAGGTACCCCTGTATCTGATTGTGTGTATGAGCCCAGAGAGTGGGGGGGAGGTACCCCTGTACCTGACTGTGTGTATGAGCCCAGAGAGTGGGGGGGAGGTACCCCTGTACCTGACTGTGTATGAGCCCAGAGAGTGGGGGGAGGCACCCCTGTACCTGATTGTATGATGAGCCCAGAGAGTGGGGGGAGGCACCCCTGTACCTGATTGTGTGATGAGCATTACCACCCTATGACTGTGTGGCCCCGTGTGTCATACACACCTGCTTGTGTGCATGCCTCCTGTATCCATGTGTGTCTCTCTGTGAATGCCTGCTTTGCGTTGTGAGGGAGAGAGTGCCATCCAGGTCATGGGTGACTCTGTTCTCTTGGCTATGCGGTGACCCTGTAGGACACTGTGTATTTGGCTCTCACGCTGCATCGAGCCTGTGCCTGGAGTGCTGTGCCTGGGAGAGGGTATGAGTGACAGGAGGGGCCCAGAACTCTAGAGATAGATGGATCTTGCCGTGAGTGTGATGACAGTTAGCGCGTGGCCATTTGTGTGAGCGTGTGGGCAGGTGGCAGGATCAGGAGACATGGCCTCTGTCAACTCCTCACTGTGACTGACCCTGGTCCAATTATTTGGCTTCCAGCCCTCTTCTGAGAAGCAGGGTAAATGGTAACCCTCTCTCACTGAGCTGCTGTGAGGGGACTGGGACATTTGTGTAAAAGCGTTTTCCTTTTATAGTCGGAAGCATTTGTGAGGCGCTTGCTGCATGCCAGGCACTGTTCTTATCCCTCTACGCACACTTACTCATTTTAGCTCTCACAACAATCAAAAGAGGTAGGCGTGGTACTGCTATCCGCATTTTATACGAGGTAGACGAAGCCCAGAAGTGGTTAAGTCACATATGCAAATGGAAGTTATGTTCGCAAGGGGGTGGGGCGGCTGGACCTAGAGCCGAATGTTTGTATAAATGTCCCTGTGTGATCGTGGCGGAGGAGAGGACTGGCCCTGACCTTGCCAGCCACAGTAGCCAGGAACATCTGCATTGCAGGTGCTGGGAGAGAAGACCTCCCACCTGTGGCCACTTGGAGTGTGAGCAAGGGACACTCCAGCAGTCTCGGCTCTAGTTTGGGTCTGGGGGTCCATGGGGCTCCCTGGTCCTGCATAGACTCTGAACTGTCCGTCCGTCTTTCCCTGCAGCGGGCCCTGGTAGAGACCCACTTGCGGCAGATCTGTGGTCTGGAGCAGCAGCTGCAGCAGCAGCAAGGTCTCCGGGAAGCGGCCTTCCCCAGCCTGAGCCCCCCGCCTGCCCCCGCCACACCCTGTCCTGACCTGGACCTGCACTATCTGGCTTTGAGAGGGGGACCTGCCTTGGGTCACGGTGAGATCTCAGTGACCTCTGCCTTCCTGATCTCCAAATCTCCAACTGTGATTCCCATTTCAGTGTCACTGGGCACCTCTGCCTTGCCTAGAGTCTCAAGACAATTTGTTTATTTGTTTGTTTGCTTGCTTGCTTGTTTGAGATAGAGTCTTACTATATAGCCCTCGTTGGTCTGGAATTTACTATGTACACCAGGCTATCCTTGAACTTGGAATGATACTCCTTATTCTGCCTCCCTGGTGCTGAGATTACAGTCACGTGACACTACACTCTTTGCAATAGCTTAAAGCTGTTCAAAATTATTCCATTCTCCTTTCCAACTGTTCTTTCACCTCAACCACCCTTCCACAAATTCTCCCACTGACATCCCTTTGCTATTCAGAGCATACAATTCGTGGGTGTGCCAGCAGAGGGCGTCCCCACTCAGCGTCCCCTTAGGCTGTGATTAGAAGAGGCCCCTGAGGATGCTCGAGACTTCTGGTTCTAGCCTGAGATACCTTCCAGAGGACATGTTATCTGCCCCACCCCCCACCCCCTGGCCCACAGGAGGACCGAATCTGCGTCTACCCTACCCTTGTTTCTCTTATAACGGTGTCTCCCCGTTGGCTGTTTGGCTTTCTGGCTCCTCTCAGTACCTGGGGCTGAGTCCCCACCCTACCCGTTTCACATTGTGTGGATCTGGGAGTCAACGGAGGCAGCCGGAGCCTCCCTGACATCGTCTTGTCCCCTGACAGCAGGTTGGCCCGGCCCTGCTAGCGTCGATGTGAGCGAGCTAGAGCGAAGGCAGCTGGAAGAGGCCCTGGAGGCCGCGCAGGGGGAGGCACGGGGGGCTCAGCTTCGGGAAGAGCAGCTCCAGGCGGAGTGTGAGAGGCTGCAGGGCGAGCTGAAGCAGCTGCAGGAGACGCGGGCCCAGGTAGAGGGGCTTCGGAGGAGCTGCCCTTGGATGGGAAGGGCTGGACCAGCGGGGGAGGGGTGAGGCCGGAGGGGAGGCTGGGCTCTGACCGCTACTTTTCTCCTCAGGATCTGGCCTCCAACCAGTCGGAATGTGACATGGCTTGGGTAAAGAGAGTCGGGGACGATCAGTAAGTCACATCTGTCACCCCATGCGCGAGGGGACTCCCTCCGGTCTCCATAGTTGGCTTTCCATCCATCCACATTATTTGAGTGGCCTCTCTTCCTAGGTCTTGGGGTGTGGTGTCTGGGTTGCTTGCACTTGAGCCCTGTTACAGGAAGCAGGGAGGGGCTCTGGAGTATTCGGGTTCTGGGACCAGGCTCATCTTTTCTCAAGGTTTGGGTTGGGGAATGCGCTCGGTAGCTCTGACGCCCACCCTGGTCTGTGTTCCCTGCTGAGTTTTCTCTACCAGAGACAAAACTTAGAGGTGAGTGCATCCACTGTCACCTGTGAGGAGGGAGATGCCTCCCTCGTTTAGGATTTGAACCTGCCTTGTCTGTTCATCTAAAGGGAGCAGTCCTTGAGATGGGTAGAGAGGAGACTCCCACAGGAGAGAGGGCCTGAAAAGTAGGGAAGAGGCTGTGTGTCGGGCGGGGCGGGGTGCATGGCAGTGGGGTCCTGGGATGTGCTGGGCAGTAGCAATGGAGGCCGGCATCTTCCACAGCTTATCCTCACCCACTTCAGAGAAACAGTGCTTAAACCTTGTTTTGCTTCGTTCCTCTCTCGTGTGAGAGGAGGCCAGTCAGTGGTACTAGTTAGTGGTACAAGCTTCGTACATTCCTTACCAGAGAAGTCAGGCCTGAGGGGGCAGGAATTAACCTTCCCTCACAGGGCATACCCCGTTCCCAGGATCCCAGGGGTCCTCCCTCTCAACAGGTTTCCTTGGCATCCTACCCGCTTCTGGCCAGTTAGGGGTACCCCTTGCTTCCTTCCCCACCCTGGGGTGAGGGCCTGGGTGGGGCTGTGACAGCTGAGAGGGTGAGAACCTAGTTTGTGGGACCCCTCCCTCAGCTAGGCTTCTGTGGGGGATGGGAGGGAGTTCTGCGGAAAGGGTCCACCCTAGCTTGTGGCTGGGGCTCTGGGACCTTTGTCGCCATGTGTTCAAACCTGGAACGCACACGTACCCACAGAGAGTAGACCCTTGCCTAGCCCCGAAGGTCCCCTTAGGGGTCAGTGATTCCAACCTCTTCTTATAGTGAAAGTTCCTGCACTCAGTGTAGACTTTGGCAGGGCTGGATCCCAGAACTCTTCCTGTCCTGGGAAAAGGCCTTGCGTTCTTGACTTGGCCTTTGCCCCTCTGGACCCTGGGTTCCCCTCCTGGGCTCAGGAGTCAGTCACTGCTGCAGGATGTGAGAGGGAGGTGAGGAAAAGCGTGGGAAGGGGCAGAGAGACCAGCAGATCCTCCAGGGCCGGGGCTGCAGGTGCCCAGTGACAGAGAAAACCATCTCAGAAAGTGTTTGCAGGCTGTGTCAGCCTTATTGCTTGTTCTGGCCAAACCAGCTCCTTCCCTCCCAACCGAGGGGAGCTGGCTGAGGAAATTCTCCCAAGGTGCTACAGGAGCCTGTGGCTTCTGTAGGCTTCCAGGACCTGTGTCAGCCCTACAGGCCCTGCCCGATGCTCCGGGACAGCCCCAGTGGGGCAGGATCAATTCTCAGAGGAAGTCCTCACTCCCCTGGTAGTTTTATTTTCTTATAAATTCAGACTTTTTGGTAGTAGGCAATTCCCTGGGGCTTCCTCCCCCCGCCCCGCCCCCCACCTAAGGATGGCCCAGTCACCTCCTTCCTCTCCCAGGATCAGCAACCCCTCTTCTCTCTGCTTCTGCTGACTCCGGATCAAGTGGGAATTTTATTGATGGGCTTTCCCGGGAATGAAACGCTGTCACTAAATTATCTGGGGGAAGAGGGCAGCAGTTCCTGAGCCCAGTCCGCCTCTAGGAATTAATCTTCTCATCTTGAAAGGTGCCTTCAGTCTCTCTTGTTCGCCGGGGCAGCCAAATTGGTCTCAGGGATCCCCCGTTAAAGCATCTCCTTACCCCAGTCTCCCCTGTATGAACCCCACCCTGTGCGATCTGTGCCTGGGAGCAGGCCTTGGAGGCTACGGCCCCTCGTTCTCAGCTCCGGGCCCACAAACTCTAGCCACCAGTGATTCACAGCAGGCAGGACTGACACCAAGCCAGACAGACCGGCTGCCGTTCTCCGGGTCTGACCTGGGCTCCGAGTCTCTCGGATAGCTTGCTTCCTGGTGGTCAGAGCTCAGGGGCCAGATGGCCCCAGAGGAAGAAGAATGATGAGGGAGAGGAGGTTGGAGGAGGCAGTGGAGTTCACCGAGCATGTGAGGAGGATGTTCAGGAGGGCCAGGACCCAGGAAGGTCCCAGCCAAGGCGACATGTGTAGGACACATGTGGGGACAGTCCCCTCCCCTGGCCTGTGGATACCTGGGTGGGACCGTTTGAAAGTATGGCCAGTGCTGGGAGCCAGAGACACTTGAGTCACTGCTTGAGGGAGAGAGGGCTCTGGGAGGTAGATGGGGTCTTATTGGTGAGGGGATCCAGTGAAAAGATGGGGTACACATGGGTGATGAGGGGGAAACCATAAATTATAGACCTTTCTTTTTTCCTAGTGTGGGGGGCTCAGGGTTGCAACCTGGGACCTTTTCCGCCCACCCCCCACCCCCTCTCTCCACCCACAAGCCTCTGCGTGGGCTGTGGTTTGGTGGTGGGGAAGTGTGAACTCAGAAGAGAGAGGATGGAAACTCTGCACAGAGGTCAAGGGCAGTGTGGGGTGGGTCAGGACGGAAGTCGGAGACCCCCTGTACCCTGAGCCCAGCCTCCTGCCCCCAGAGCCGGCAGGCCCGAGGAGGCCGCCTCCTTCAGGCTTCTCACCCTCCCTACTTCCTTCCCTCAAGTCTCCTTCAGCCTGATGCACAGAGCACAAAAAAAATCAACCCTGAGCACTGTGGCCGCAGGGCACCCTGAGGGTGGGCAGGGGTTCTGCTGGCCTCGGACCGTGGGGTTTGAAGGCATTTCCAGCCCGGTGCCTGCCGGTTGGGCCCAGAGCTAAGAGGCGCTCTGGTTATCATTCTCCCCACAGAAGACCAGTGTATCCTCCCCTCTCCTCACCGAGTGATTTTTGTTGTTCTTTGTCTGAGCTTTGGTTAGGTTTTTGTTTTTTAAGACAGCACATAGCCCAGGCCATCTTGAACTTGCTGTGTAGCCGAGGATGACTTTAAATTCCTGTTCTGCCTCTCCCTCCATGTGCGAACATTACAGCATGGACTGCCAGCTGGGTTTTTTTTCCGCTTTTCTTTTTGAGACAGGGTCACACTGTGTATCTCTGACTGTCCTGAAACTTGCTATGTAGACCAAGCTGGACTAGAACTCACAGAGTGCTATATAGCCCAGGCTGGCCTCTCCTTCCCAAGTGCTAGGATTATAGACATGAGCCACCACGTCCAGCATGCTAAATAAATCTTAAGCCAGTATCTTTTTTTTCTTTTCTTATTTTATTTATTTCTCTTCTCTCTTTTCATCTACAGGTCCTTTAATATATATTATGGCTTCCATTATAGTGTTTTTATGGAACTTCTTAGTGTGTGATTAAGTAGTTCTCTGTTTCTTTTAAGCCAATATCTTTAAAAAAAAAAAAAAAAAAAAAAAAAAAAGCCCAAGCCCCAAAGTGGGCTTTCTCATGATGTCCACTTCACTCTCATAAACACGAGGCATAAAAAGTTCCGGCACTAGGGAAGGGCAGTCCAGGCAGGTCCTAGCAAGCAGGGTGATGAGGCTGACTGTTGGCCTGTTGAGGTGGTTCTGCAGGTAGGAGGCCTTTTATACAAGGGTGACCATGTGATTCGTTGACCAAATTGCATCACTTTTGAAAGTGAAAGGGGACACTATTAATTATGCAACAACTCGTGTGAGCAAGGACAGGCCTGGGCAAACAAGGGCCCCTGGTTCCAGTCCAACTGTGGGCTGCTCAGTCCCGCTGTGTCTAGGGAAGCTTCTGGACCCATAGCCGTCCAGTACTGCCTGGTGGAGGCTGCCATGAAGAGCTCGGGTCTGGGGACCACAAGTCATAGCTGGCCGAGGAGCATGAAAGGCTCAAGGCTCCGGAAAGGAAGTGGTAGATCACTGGCTTGTTGCAAAGCGACTTCCTCCTCCGCCAGCCCGCAACCTCAAGTCCGCTCCACGGCCTGGTGCCTGTGGTCCCCTCCCTGAGGGTCTGGCAGGCGGGAAGACTGGTGTTGGGTGTGCCCGTGGGTGGGTGGAAAGTTTGGCCCCTAAATTCCCCTGCTGGGTGGGGTGGCTGGGGCAGCTAGGGGCAGCCAGGGGTAAGGATGGACAGGCTGGGAATGCTGGGTTTCTGGTTTTTCCCAGGTCTGCATCAGATGACGGTTCTGACCACAGGACAGCTATAGTCCGATTCTTTCCCCAGCCTTTACACTGCACAGGACCTGACTTTGCCCCTATCCCTAATCCTGACCCCCAGCTGTGTCCATAATCATGGCCACAGAAGAACTACCAGCCCCGTACCTTTCATCCTGACTTGAAGTCCGTCTCCAAGCCTCACCCCGTCCCTTAGGGCTGGCCGGAGTCCTGAATTCTCGCTGCACTAATGCAGCGGGGCCTGCTTTGGTGTGTGTGTGTGTGTGTGTGTGTGTGTGTGTGTGTGTGTGTGTGTAGGTTGTCTGTGCAGCTCCGAAGCTCCTTTGAGGCAGAAAGAGACTTTGGAGAGGATGTTCAGGCCTTTGACCTTCCTGGATTGCAGTTGCTTTATTAGTGACCGTGGGGACAATTGCTTTCGGGAGGGACTTTGAGATCCCGGGATCACTGGTGGGAAGGATGACGACAGGTTAAGTCAGGGAAGAGTAGAAGCCCTCTCCTCTGCCAGCTCTGCCATTTGTGCTCCGGCGGCGGTGTCTCCACAGATGCCAACCCAGCGGGCTGAGGCGCTGAGAGCAAGTGTGTTGAATCACTGCCTCGCGCCTGCTCTTAACCACTCTGATCTTCCACTCCCTCACGTGTCTGTCTCCCTCTTCATTCTTCCCGGGGCAGGAGTGGTGACTCTCGAAACACCTGGGCTGCCTCGAAGACCCTCAGCCTCTTCCTCCTCCTCCTCATTCTCTTCTGCTCTCCCACTGTATTTCTCCCACTTTCTTGAGGTTTGGGGTGTGTGTGTGTATGTGTGTGTGTGTGTGTGTGTGTGTGTGTGTGTGTGTGTGTGTGTGTAATGCTTAGCAGCTGGGATTTGGAATCTCGGAGGCTGGTGCTCTTCTCCAGCTTTAGGATATGGCCAAGTGACTTGACCTCTGGGGCCCCATCTTCTTACCTGTGAGGTAGATTGGCATAGGGTGGTCATGAAGCCAAATAAAGTTCGCAGCACTGTGCCTGGCCCATGACCAGCCTTCGTATAGACCAGGGCAGCGTGTGCCACTCGCTGCTCACATGACCTGTTCCTCCTCGAGTCATGATAGTGGAAAAGTCTCTCAGGTGTGGCCAGGAAGTCAGGAAGCAGGGCGTCTATTTAGACGCACATGTGAGGCTTGGGTTGTGTTGTCAAGTTGAGATTTTTTTCCACTGAATTGGCGGTGTTTTCAGTGAGTCATTCTGATGGCGTAGCATCTTCACCCATCAGTGTGTGAGGAGAGAGACGCCCAGAGAAGCGGCATGTCCCACAGGACTGTGAGGTGTCAGGAGGAGGCCAGAGCTCTTCACCCTGTCCAGGGTCTCAGAGGTCTTTGTGAGGGTGGCCTGGGGCTCTTGGAGGACTGGAGCTTGCTCCAAGATCCCAGTGTCAGCTTGGAGAGAGGCTGAGCATGCTGAGGTAGGGGTTTCTTCCTTCTGTTTCTTGAAACTCCATCTTTTTCACTGCGAGGAGAGTGCCAGGCACTGGGCTGTGGAAACTAGGGTGCCTCCTGACAAGGGAGCCAGCAGGGGAGAAAGGGGCCCGGGGAACTGAACTGACAGGTGAGATCTCCCAGGCAGAGTGTGAAAGAGACGACCTGTATCTGTCACCTGAGATACAGCAGGCACGGTGGATGGGGAGAACAACTGTGCTCTGTGGCAGAGGGGACACTCCATGACTGCCCCTTCCAGAGTTCCTTCTGGCTCCCGCCGCTGAGTGGACAGCATGATCCCGTCCCCAGAGGTCCCCATTCTGACTAGGAACACGCAGCTCCTGCTCTCAGATGGCTTTCAGTCTGAAAGCTGAAGCTTCCCTGGAGAGTCCCCGGTTTGGTGTGGGACATGCCTGGACTTCCCACTCTCAGAGGAAAATGCCATTTCTTCCCACAGACCTGTGGGATGAAGGTGGTGGGGCAGAGGATGCATTTCACAGACACGAGGCCTGAGATATGGTGGCATGGTAGCCATGGAGTCCAAGTCAGGGTTCCCTGGCCGACTCCTGTCTTGGAAGATGGGTGGTGAGGCCTGGTTATCCCTAAGAAGTAGGTTTAGCACCCAGATGCCCTACTGTAATTGGATTAAAAGTAGTGTTGCACTCTGCCCCCAGCCTCCCTCCCTGCCTCTGCTCTCCGGATAGCACACTCCCTGCCTCACACTCCTCACACCCGCCTCCTGCATCCCCAGCCTCCTGCCCTCACTGCTCCCTCTGGGTGCATCATTGCAGGAGCTCCTGGGAGGAGGTTCACCCTCCAAAGCGTCTGTTATTCTCCCCCCCCGACCCCCACCCCCCAGCTTCTGAAGTTCCAGGGTCCCTTCTGGAGTTGTAGAGGCAGGAGAGCTAAGGAGAGCCACACCCTTGCCTTCAGATTGCTCCCGGCCCTGTTCAAGCCCAGAACACAGATGTAGGCAGGTCCAAAGGCCATGGTAGAACTCCTGTGAGGTCAGAATTGCTCCTGGGATGGGGTGTCTGAGGTGCCCAAAGGAAGAAAAGGGTCCTTTGCTGAACTTAGGAGTGAGTCTGCCCCAGCTCCAGGAGAGTGGGTGTCCCCAGCTCCAGGAGAGTGGGTGTCCCCAGCTCCAGGAGAGTGGGTATCCCCAGCTCCAGGAGAGTGGGTGTCCCCAGCTCCAGGAGAGCGGATGTTGAAGAGGTTGCAGGAAGTGAACAGGAGAAAAGAACTGGATGGAAGAAGCCGTTTCTGAACCTGTACCGAGTAACGAGCCTGAACAAAGAGCTGGGAATAGAAATGCAATGATATGGTTCCCAGTGAAAGTCCACAGCAAGGCAGCCTTTGAGAAGTGCCCAGTTTGGGTGGCACACCCTGCCAGGTGGGCAGTGCCCAGCAGCTTCTCATAAGGATCTGAATGGAAAGGGCAGGACGGGTGTGTACAGTGAGGTCCTGAGAGGTCTGAGGCTAGGAGCACTAGGCATCTTTTAGGTAGAGACAAGAGCAGTGGGCCTGGAACGGGGCCAACGTGGAGGGGAGCCGAGTGTTACCTAAGGAATGGCTTCATCACAGCCTGTGCAGAGTGGTCCCCAGTGTTTTCAAAGTTGAGGGTGTTTTTTTTAAACACTTTTTTTTTCCCCCGAGACAGGGTTTCTTTGTGTAGTTTTGGTGCCTGTCCCGGATCTCTCTCTGTAGACCAGGCTGGCCTCAAACTCAGAGAGATCCGCCTGGCTCTGCTTCCCGAATGCTGGGATTAAAGGCGTGTGCCACCACTGCCCAGCTGAGGGTGTTTTTATGGGTCCCCCTCTCCCAGCACACAGATCATTTGTTTATTTTACTGGATATTGGGTATTACAATTTTGGGATTGTAGCCAGTATTGAACCAATACCTCCCGTTTGCTGGCAAGTGTTCTACCCTAGAGTTACATTTTGCTTTGCATTTTGCAACAGGATCTCACCAGACTAACCCCGAACCTGTTCTGTACCCCAGGCAGTCAGCGTCTGCATCAGCCTCCTGCGCAGCAGGGATTGTGTGGCCTCGACACCAGGGGCCTGTGCTAATTTGCACTCTGAGAAAATGTGCGCTGTACATGTAGTATGTGGCTTTCTTAGGAATCTGTTTTGTCATGGCAGTCTCTGTACCAATTAGGAAAACATTCACACACACCTGTATGAACTATGGTCAGCCCCTAAATGGAATTCAGGGACCCCTTGGAATCTTTCTATTCCACATCCTTGCCCTAGGCGGGGAACCTGGGCTCCAATGTGGGGAACGTCTCTGGAAGCAGAGGGAGGCTCCCCCAGAAGAGGTGGACCCTAAAGGCAGAGAGGAATCCTGCAGCTGGGGTAGGTGCTGAAGATGCAAGGCAGAGCGGGTTCTTGTCTCCGGCTGGGGCAGAAGAACCACATCCCTTTTCTTCCCCACCCCTTGCCCTCTGACCTCAGGGTGAACTTGGCGCTGGCCTACACGGAACTGACGGAGGAGCTGGGTCGGCTTCGGGAGTTGAGTTCCCTGCAGGGGAGGATCTTGAGGACATTGCTGCAAGAGCAGGCCCCCCGAAACGCAGGTGAGACTGCCAGAGCCGGGCAGGCCCCCAGTGTGGGGAGCAGGGGCGGGGGGCCCAGGAGCCACCTCCCCATCCCTGGGTGGGCATTGTCCCCGCAAGCCCCTGGCTCGCCACTCCACCTCGCTATCTCTTTCCCAGGCCAAAGGCACTCGCCGCTGTCGCAGCGCCACTCCCCGGCCCCCGCGTGCCCCTCGCCCTCCCCGCCTGCCAGA